AAGAAAAATCTAAAATTTGAAATCTGTGTATTTTCCACAAGTTGAGTTATTATATATAAAAGAATATTGAAGGGCAGGTCATACCTAATATATCTAATCAATAGAAGAAACTTCCGCGGGGTAATTATAATAACGGTACTGATGGTCACATGGTCACATTGGTAACAAGTAACAAGATGAAATTTTTCCATGAATACCCTTGATGAAGTTACAAGACTTGATGAAGGTTTTAAAATTGATAAAAACAGTAGTGTACACGAATTTGTAAGTAAAAATATAATAAAAGAGTAATCAAAATTTCAGTAATTTTACTTTAAATCGCCCTAATATAAATCTCATCTAACGTATAGATTTGATAGGCGTCCTTTACAAAATATGTATTGAAATATATCTAGAAAATTTTTCTTAGTGTTACCTGAATTAGATAAGTTATGTTTAAGTAAATACTTTGTAATCGTTTGTAGTATTTTATGCCTTCAGAATATTCATATTAATATTTGGAATATTAATACTACAAAGGATATGTTTAAGAATTTACTTAAACATAACTTTTCTAATTCAGGTAACAAGAAAAATTTTCTACATATAGATTTTAATATAATAATAATATAATACATATATTTTGTAAAGGACGCCGTTAGTATGTATCGTATGTACGAATCGACAAATTAACTTTATTCAATCTAAATCCAGAATGTATGTGGCGGTAAAGTATCAATACAGGCCAACTTTATTCAGTACAGGCTAGACTGTATTCAAACACGTATCGTCGCTGTACCAAAAGAATAAAGGCTGCCTTTATCGACTAAAGATTTTAAAATAGGCTCGATAGAGGTTCTATACTGTTTGGTTGTACGGGTAATGGAACAGTAGACTGAATAATGACTTTGGTCTGAATTCGGGATTGTGCAGTGCGTTTCTAAGATATTACATTTCTGGTTTTTAAAATCTAAAGAATATTTAACAAGGATGTTATAAGTGTTTTATCTGAAGATGACTCCTATAGACCAACATCAGCTCCTTCTAGAAATTGTTGCCTAGATGTCTTTATCAGTTCTGTAGTTTACAGGGTGCTACAAATTCGGGATACGAGCATTGGTATCTCAGTAACCGTAATAGATACGAACATGGTTAAATGGGGCAAAGTTGCCGCCTTGGGATGTTCACTAAGATGCCGTCAAAAAAGTTTTAAAAATTTCATGGATTAATTAATCCGTTTACATAAAATATTATATCATGTAAATGAATAAAACAATGCTCACTATCCATTCCGTTTCCCTCCCATTCAATATCCTTTCCTTCCATACATTTTTTTGACGGACGGACTGAAGGGTATCGGAAACAGCATTGTCAAGTTCTTACATTTGTACCAGCTCTGTTTTTTGCTGATATTTATTTATTCTTTCACCTCTTAATTAAATCTATTACCTTTTTCAAAAGATACAGATTTTTAAAATAAAACTTTCGTAATGATATGAATAGTTCAATAAAAAGTATGGAACTGATACGGAACGGAAGCTTACGTATAGAGTCAATACAATAAAAAATACGGAACGGATATGGAATGGAAACGGAAGGTATATTGAGAATCAACCTTTATTTGGAAACAACTGATTTTTTTGAAAATCAATTTTTGTTAACAATAACATCTTTAGCAATCCAAGTGTGATTGTGTAGAAAACGTAGCAATGTTGGCGTCCTCAGTGGACAGCTTCACACTTAACTGCGCCCTAAAACTATAGTACAGAATATATAATATTGCTCTTCAGATTTATAGATATTAATACTGTATTTCTATTTCAAAATTTATCAATATTATTTATGAATGAGCCTAAACAATTCCATTCAAGGTTTTGTTATGATTAGATTCAAAAAATGCATCAAAAATCATTGAACGCGCCATATACTAGACACAAGGTTAACTACATTACACGCAATTTTCCAAGATTTTCAATGAATCATTGATACGATCTATAACTTATCTCGTAAACTACATATTTTGCATTCTCCTTGTTTAAATGAAGAAAGAAATATTTTTTACTCTTTATCATTTGAGATCATACATATAATTTTATTAAATACGGTAAATTATATGCTTTAACGCTGGATTAAAGAGATATTTTTTTTAAATACTATTTTTAACATAATAGCTCATTGTTGTTTATTCCCACGACTTTAACAAAATATATTTTGTCTTAGGAAATAAAATATGACATTATAATTCTATAACAAATCTGGTCTTTGTCCAAACGCATCCAAACATTTTAATTGCTAATTTTTGCTAATTAATTACTCTTTTTGCACATCTTTTTTTCGTAATGGTTGCTTAATAGTTTCCATGCTCCAATAAGATTTTTAATTAGAGCATTCACCTTTATAATGAATCTACTTACCAGAAATATTACCATAATTCAGTGGCGTACCTATAATTTTTACGAACATCAAAATAAACGTAGAAATAATATTTGAAATTAAAATCGAGATTCGTTCGTAGACATTCGCATGAGTTCGTATACCTCGAACAATATGTTTTTTTTCTATATTTAAGCTAAGGTTAATAATAGTATTTTTTGCAAAGGAATAAATTATCTGAATTAAAAGGTAACACCTCTAGACATTATTTGTTGTGTGTATAATAATTATTTACATAAATACACAATGACTCACAACGGTTGAATTCCCAACAAGAATCTTTGAAGGCGTTCAAGAATCAAGGCGTATACAATATTAAAAATACCTAATTTGCTGCTTTGTTACAATTAATTTGCTCAATATTTTGAGGTTTGTAACGAGGTTAAAGAAATGTTCTCAAAATGTCAATATTCCATGGATATATTGATAAATGAGGTCTAAATTATAAGAAAATGCATTTTTACGAAAACTTGAAGAGATAGGTAAAAAATGGAATAATACAGTTTGACAGACAATTAAACTGTACATCTGATTCAGTGTATTACATTTAAATTAATCAAGTTTATGTCGTTCAAAGCTAGTAATTATTTAATATATATTTTTAGGTACTCTGTATAAGGTAGTATTATTTTTACTATTGCAACACAAAATTTAGTAAATAGAAAAACTTCAATACAATATTTGGTTTTAAAAACTTAAATACGCATAGAGAAAGCATTAAAATTTTGTTACTGTTTTTTCACAAAATCGTAAATATTTCAAAAACGGTAAGATTAAAGTGCGGTAAACTTTAATCAAATTTACCTTTATTTTAATGGTAGAAACTAAAAGAGCAATGATATACAGGGTGCTATTTAAAAAAATTACAACTTTGATATTTTTTCTTTATTTGGGACACTCTGTGCCTTGAAAATAATTTTAAATTGTAGATTTAGTAGTCCTCCAACGATTCCATATCACTCACAATTTCTAAAAGTCGAATTATTGGGCCACAACACTCCGTGTCGAATGAGGCGAATAACTCTGTAGAACTTTTTTTCATATCGACGATATTATTAGACTTACTCGCACTAATGGGCCACCCTGTATATGTTTTGTTTAATTTTTGGTGAAGTAGGTATATTAACGCATAAAATTAACTACTTCTAGTAAAATCTTAGTTCGTAACATTGTAAAAAATAGAAATCAGTCCCCATTATATGGCAATCTACAAAACTTAACGGTACAAATACCACATCGAGGTGTTTTGGTTTCTTTCTTCAACCCATTAAATCCGATTTTTTCATGCTCCAAGAATTGCTCAGTATAATATAACCACCGTTAAATACGCCAGAATATATTTCTGTGTGAGCTTAACTAAGCAGAAACAACACGACAAAATAAAAATATACTGGGTGGTCCAAATTGTATTCCTGAAACTTCGGCAGTATATTCTTCAGATAAAGATAAGCAAAAAAGTTCGTACATATGTATGTCCTAAAATGCTTAGTTTCGGAGATACAGGGTGTAGAAGTTTCACTTTTATTTCGATTTTTTTCCAAATAATTTCTGAAGTAACGTCAATATTCGGGTGAAAATTGGTGTCTGGAAGTTTTTTGACATGAGAAATTTGATTTTGATATCCATATGACTCCCATTTGTAGGGAGCGCCACCTACATGTGTTTTAACCTTGTTTTAACTGTTTTGAAGAGCAATAACTTTTCGTCCGCACCTGTATAAAACCACTGAGTCAAAAAATATAAAATTTCGTGACTTTTTTTTGTAAAAAATGTCTCTTGGTAAAAATCACTACGAGCGACCGTTCTCAAGATATATCGAATAGAAATGGTCAATACATGTCATTATTGACAAAAAAATAAACACGTCGAGTAGATAGTTACTTGACTGAAATAATAAATTTGGGAAATTTTTATTTTTTTAAATTAATCATAAACTTTTCTTCGAAAAAATAATGATAAAACAATATCTCTTCAACTTTTGGCACAAAAACATGTCAAATTTATGATTTCAATCTAATAACTATTTAGTCAACATGTTTAATTTATGATGACTGATGACAGGTATACAACTGATGACAGCCTCACACCTGTGTATTACTAGCTGGAGTTTTTTCTACAGCGGCGTGCGCGGTATTCCCCCGTGCGCGGGATTCCCCCGGTTTCCCTTACACCTTTGCGTTGTACTTACTTAGTATATTCTGTGGTACTTACTTCATATACGGCGTCCACGGGCAAAAGTGTTCTACCAGCGTCTCTTTTTCGAGAAAAATAATTTATAAGCTTAGCAATGAGCTCTTGTTCGTTTTGGTTACATCTTTGGTGCATTTTTGCAATAAAAAATATTAATTTTGTTTAACTTTGATCGATGTCAGTCAATAAAATTATAACCCCAAATCATATGACAATGACAATCACTAAAAAGAATATGCAGTATTTTACGAAATGCCCTAATCACGTCACCAATCTCTTTCATCTGGTTGTCAAATAATTGAGAGTGTTCGACAAAATATGACGTGACGTTGAACGATGGTTGAACATTCTATATATTTCTTCATAGATATAAATAATGTTTTTTTTTATATTTTTAGGGAACCGAAGATGACAAAATAGTCTTTACAACAGCAGATGAACAACAAAGCAAGACTATATTGTTTCCCGACATAAGATTAGTAGATGGACCTACAATATTAGCTGGAAGGGTTCAAATTAAAGTGAATAACAAATGGAGAAGTCTATGCACAAATTCCAGAAAGTATGTTGAGTATTTTTTTTTCAAATTCCTCATGAGACTCTTCAAAAATTCTTTACTGTTACTTGGAAAATTATTCAACTTATTTTAAACACATTGCAGTTGCTAAAATTATGCGTTTTACCATTCTAGCTGGACTAAGGCAGATATGGAAACAGCTTGCCGTCAAATGGGATTCCAGGGAGGTGATTTTTTTCAATGGTTCAATAGGGAAATGCCTCTAAAACCCCGATTGCTGTATGAAGAACCATCTTGTACAGGTACTGAAGGATCTCTGTTGGATTGTAGATGGGATAGCTACCAGATGGGTTCTGGAGTGTGCGATTATCATCCTGATTTGGGTTTGCAATGTCAAATGAGACATGACAGTCCCAAAGGTTATTGGAGAGGATTGAGGTATTGTATTTTTAGAAATAAAAGGTATACATGGTATTCTAGATGTATTTTTTCCAGATTTGAATATGCAGAGAACACAAATGAGCTGTCATTGGTTAGAACTCGTTTCATGCCTTTGTCGCAATCGACATTAAGGCACGTTAACATTTACTACGCAGGTGCAGGACGGGATTACAACACTTCCAGCGCTTTGCATATTGAAGGTGTTCCTCCTGTCATGGAAAGTCTGGAAATTGTCAGTTCCTTGTATAACGGGGTCAACGTGACGAACCCTAGTGCTCCCATAGTTATTAATAACTGTACCATTAGGAATAACAGAGGTTATGGCGTGTTTATTAATTCAAGTTATGGATTGGCACATTTAGGTAAGTTGAAAGATCACTTATTAAGATATTTAGTAAAAATGATAAAATTAATTATACTGTATATGTAACTTGTATCCTACTCAATATCATGCCTAAATACTACATACATTATTTTTTTACCAATTTAAAAATACCATCTTTTTTCAAACGTCACAAAAGTATTTTTTATTTTGCCTAGGCATAAAAGTAAAGCACTTTTACGCCTAAGCACAAAAGTACGAAAATATATTATTAAACTGACATAAAGTCTCAAACCCAACGAGCGTAACCATAATTTCTCGATATACAGGGTGAGTCTTAAATAAGTGCAAATATTTTCAGGGCTGGTAGATCTCCATAAAAGAAACATATTTTCTCTTTACCATTTTTCAATAAGTCCAAAATAACCTAGCTATTTAAGTTTGAAAATTTAAAAAATTGATTTTTTGGAAAAATTTTGAGAGCCACCGGATTTTTTCTGTAATTGCATCTCTTTTAATGCCGTAACCATAGAGTAAAGCCGTAACTATGGTAATATCAGAGATTAAGAAATTATACCGTGGGCACGGCATATAAATCACACGGCAGGCCAACTCGCTTTGGCGGGAACGCTACGCGCATATCCTTGCGCACGCCGCCATTATGGGTGCCAGCAACAGAAATTAACCAGTGTCGTAGTCTTTGTCATCGACAACATACAGTTACGGCAGCTTTGAGTCAGTAGCGTGCGGCTTAATTTATTTCATTCTTTTCTTGAGTGATATATTTTTTGTTTATTGTGTGATATATTTGGTTTTTGTAGTTTAGTAGTACAATGGAAGTCCGAAATTCTTTTAGTTTTAATACTCAATCATTGCCTGCGGCATTCAAAGTAATTTTTATTATTAGGTATCCTGCAAAATGACAAACAATATTCAATTCTAAATTACTGTTTTTCTGATCATCCGTATCTATTTTTAATTTTTATGGATAGCTCATGACAATTCAGAGAGAAAAGAACAGAGGTCTCGTTGTTTTTCATAAGGTCTGGCGTTTTTAATAAGATGTTTGCCAGATCATTTTGGCAATTTTCAGTACCAGTGTGTAATATTCGGACACAAAGTTTTTTAAATATTCTTCTAAACTGGATGAATTTATCCTGGATGGGAATAATGATAGGTTTACAAGATATTGGAATTACAAGATAAAGTTGTCGTACCAGATTTTTATGAGTGCAACTGTACACTCAAATCTCGCGACAAGCATTTATATAATATAAAATTGTGTAATGACGTTATAAGTTCACAATAAAAGTTGTAAAGTTTATTTTTTCGGAAAAAGCTTATTTTTTTTCTTCTTAATGTTTTTAAATAAAAGCTTATTTTTAAAACTTTTTTTTTCTTAAATTTATTTTTTACTTTTTAGTTATGCTGGTTTCTCAGTGCCACACACTTAAACTCAATTATTTTTCTTAAATAACTTCCAATGGGCATCCTAATAATATGTATATCGATTTTCATTAAAAAAGGAGAACTTAAAAAAAACGACACCTGTCAAATTTGACAGTTCAAATGTGAGACAAATAAAATGAAAATCGACTATGGGGTAGGGAGCATCCAATATGTCGATTTTTATCAAAATCGGAATTTTCGGACAACTTTGAAATTTTTGAAAGCTGTCAAATTTGACAGCTCCATTTTTTTTTTCTTTCATTTTAACTCATGGCCATCCTATATATAGATTTTTATCAAAATCGGACAACTTTGAATTTTTTTGACAGCTGTCAAATTTGACAGCTCAATTTTTTTTTCTTTCATTTTAGCCCATGGCAATCCTATATATCGATTTTTCTCAACATCGGACAACTTTGAAATTTTTTTGGCAGCTGTCAAAAATTCGGGTCATGCCTTGCAAGAAAATGTATTGCCATCGGGACTGAACCTACATGCCAAGTTTCAATTTCCTACAATGAAAGGAAGTGCTTCTAATTTAGCTTACAAGATTTGTCCCGAACAAACATACATACAAAGCAAGTTAAATAAAAGCTTGTAAAATAAGCTAGGGACTGCTTTCCAAAGAAGAAGCTTTCCTGCTTTTAAAGATACCTCTTACCATAACAACCTTAGACACATACATGTGTTACATAGACACATACATATGTTTAATGTAACAACATTAGACACATACATGACACATAGAAGTTCATCCGGTTCATCGAAACTTTCAACTTTTCTTTTTCAGAGTCTCAAATACATTAAGATTTTCTAAGCCAGGTTTGATATCGATGTCATATATTCATTATCTTAGTGTATCTGGGTCTCTGGACGTGGAAGGCAAAATAGATTTGTCAAGAGCGTCTTGTATATTTTTGGCCCGGAAAAGTATATATAGCCACACATTTATATTTAAATTCATCAGTTACTTTTCTTTCTTTAGCTGATTTGTTAATTTGTGTAATTTGAATATTAACAAAATTTGCTATGTCCATTGTCCATTGATGGACATAATTTGTACGTGTAGCCTCTTTAGATTGTTCAATAGATATTTTATTGGGTATTTCTTTAATTCTTGTTTGTAACTCCTGGCATGTTTTTTAATTTTAATTGTCTATTCTCTACAGTTAAATGTTTAATTGATTTTTTCATTTTTACTTTTCGAGGAGTATGCGCGGTTAACGATTCATTTGTTTAGATAAAAGTATTGTGTAAATAAAATTCAGTTTCAATCAATTACAGTATTTTTTTTAATACGACCCTGTCTATCAATAGTTTATTTTCTGGGAAATTTTTTGATACGTTTTAATCCGGCCCTGACTCGGCACCCATAATGGTGTTTTCAAGGTCAAATTTTATAGAAATTTCAAACAATGGGATCTGGGGAGAGTTAGCCTGCCGTGTGATTTATATGCCGTGCCGTGGATTTGCGGTGAACAGGCAGTTCTAAAAAGTTTTCGAAAAATATACAGGGAAATTTAAAAGAAAATGCACGATTTTCATCAACGCAACATCTTTTTTTGCGAAAAAAAAATCACAGACGTGTTTCTGGGGTCGAAATATACCAGCCCTGAAAATATTTGCACTTATTTAAGACTCGCCCTGTATAATTACTATTAGATATTACTTTTAAATATTTAATATTATTTGGAACGTTTGAAATTGTTTAAAAAATTATTTGTGGCGTTTGAAAAAAAATGGCATGTTCTATTCGGAGTCAAAATGACTTTTTGTGCCTCGCCTGTATATCAAACGTACAGGCTAGCCACGAAAAGTATCATTTTTATTCTTAATAAAACAATATACTAATTTTTGCCTATATAAAAAATTGTATTACAGCTTGTCAGCTATTTGTTGTACTTATTATAAATTTATTTATTTTCAGATGGCTGTGTTATTAATGACAATGGCGGCGATGGCATACGATACGTCAAAGCAGAAGACAGACCGGAAGAAAGCACTGACAGACGAGGATACACCGATTTCTGCCAACTAGCAGTCAGTTCTAGTCAAATCTACCCCATTTACGTTTACGCCGAACAATCTGTTCAAACCCAGCACGAACTCGAATGCAACAACGCGCTTTATACCAAATACGGACACGTCCTAACCTTAGACTTCATCAGAGCCGTCACAGAGCGAAATAACACGGCATTCCTGGAAGTCTATGATGGTTCCGCTTTAAACAACAGACTGATTCAAGTGATCCCCATACGCAACAACACCAGACCTCAAAGCATTAGAACTACATTTAACCAAATCTACCTTAAGTTTAGAGCGGAGCCCTGGACAGATACTGTGATATTTTTGAGGATAATGTCCGGACTGGACCAAACCTTTGATCTCAACGTAACCAATTCGGACGTGTCCGAAAACTTAGGAAGAGGAATAGCAGTAGATAATCTTAGATCTCAAGTTCACGTGCATAAGACTTCCTTATCGAAAAACGAGCATGTAGCTGGTCTACATGTGACAAGTGGCGTAGGTACCGTCAACGTCACCGAAAGCCGAGTGTCCTTCAACGAGGGTGATGGAATAAACGTCACTTATACAGGAGGATCCAGAAATATATCCAGGTCCTTTATAAGCAGCAATCAAGGATATGGTGTAGCAATATGGTTAAACAATACCAAAGAATCAGAGTTTGAAACAGTGAATCAAACTACTGTAATACAATACAACGAAATATATAAAAACCTAGATATCGGAGTGTTACATGGAAACTATTGTGGCGAGTCCTTATTTAATTTTACTGGAAATTCCTTTAAAAATTCTGTCAGCGATGCCTTAGAGATACTATCCTGTTGGGAAAAGACTGAGAGTTATACAAACCTGCAAATCGGTCACAACAGATTCATGGGTAACGAGAAGATAGCTTTAAAAATATATCCAGCACTAAATCTTCAAGCTAATATAGAGTTTAATAACTTTAGGCAAGGAACTTTTGGAGCTTTATTAATAAAAAACAAACCCCTAGAAGAATTTAACATTCTCAAGACTGATATAATAGTGCAACAAAATTATTTTATAAACAACACAGGCATATTTGCCGTTAATCTTGCCCTTTCTCCATATGGAAATGACCAGTACTTGTTATTTACAAGAAATTTCGTTAAAAATAATAAAATAACTGAGCCATTTCAACCCGCTGATGGCTCAATTTCAAATTTAAATCCCAGAAGCAGAGTAGCAGCTCCTGTGGTTATTGGGTCTAATAACGTCGAAGTATTTCGGAATATAATCGAAAATCCCGAGTCCAGTTACGAAATAGGCAGTCATTTGGAAGACCAAAGCAAAATAATTAACGCTACGTACAATTGGTTGGGTTCAGGATACGACGAAGCTATATTCCACAGAATTTTCCACAGATTCGATCGATATAATTTAGCAAAAATAAACTTCATGCCTATACTTCTCCATAACTCCAATCCCCTTACAATAAAAATCAATCAAAACCAACTGTATGTTCCAAAGTTTAGTGGTTATAGTTCTGATAAAGTTGGAGGGGAAATAGAAGGAGAAGAATCATTAGCCAGGGGAGAATATGTAGTGGAAAGAGACATAACTATACGGCCAGGAGGTAAACTCACAATCGAGCCCGGAGTAACCCTAAAGTTTCCTCCATCGATAGGCATGATGGTCGGAGGACAGCTGGAAGCTAGAGGCATCGAGCCAAACAGCATTCGTTTTACTTTAAAAGAAAATCTATCTCATCCACCCGATAATGTAACCTATCAAACTGAAGACATGGTTATCGGATCTGAAACAGAAATAGTCGAAGTAGAATCTGGTGTTCCGATAAGACTGCTTGGAGGTGACACCGAGACAGAAGGAAGGCTTCAAATTAAAATAAATAACCAATGGGGTACAGTTTGTAATTACGGATGGACTGTTGAGAACGCTGCATTAGTATGTCAGCAATTAGGTTATGTTTTGAACCCATCTGACTGGTATATTGAAAGAAATGAGATCCCCGATGCTGGAAAAACAGAGAAAGTAGTTTTGTCTAACGTACAATGCCAGGATTATGATTTAGATATAACTAAGTGTAGAGCAGAAACGATTACTGACTTTTACAACTCTTGCGATCACGATAATGATGTTGGAATAAGATGCTACAAGTCTTCGTGGGCTGGAGTGCGATTCGGAGCATTAGCCGAACGTTCAGACTTACAGTATGTCACTATCGAACAAAGCGGGCTACTCGATTATGCCACAGCATCCTTTAAACCTGCCCTTCAACTGGACTTTGCCCGTCAAAACTTTGAAAACATCAGAATCGTCGATAACTACTTCCACGGACTCGGTATTTTATACTCCAACATCTACACAGACGATTCAGTCAATATAATTAAAAACTCGGAGTTTCTAAACAACAAAGGTGCGGGTATTAGTTTAAAACAACTAGGCTTAATGTTGTATAGCAACAAAATCGAAAATAACCTTATAGGTATCGAGCATAACCCTACATTATCCGGTCTTCAACAACGTGAGCTGGCTGGTTGGTTTTTGAAGAACGATGAAGAAACTCATTATAAACCCATTGAAATTCCTGAAGAATCTGATGCAAATACCATAGAGGTGCAGAGAGGAGATACGAGATATCTTATTACATCTAGAGTTATTGGGGAAGACGTAACACGATCGTATAACGTAAGGTGTGATCCTGGATGGGTTATAGGAGTTCAACTGATTAATCCAATTGAAAATAGAAGCACGGAAACTATAGTTATATATGATTCTTTGTCCGCCAACCCAGGATCAGAAGTATGGTTAGTTAAAAGGGATGTCTCAGTGTTTCCTACGACTTCAAGTGCTCACGGAGTTACTATAGAATATTCTAGTGGAGTTAATGCCTTGGGAAACACTGTTATTGTTATAAGTTCTGTTAGAGCTCCGATACAAAATATCTACAATAGAATAGTAAGAGGACCAGTCCCTACCTTTACAATACGCAACAGTATCATCAGAAAAAACACGTACGGTTTTCAAGGTTCGTATTATAACCGATATTTAGATGAATTAGGTAATCACTTTTTGAGACACGCAAACGATTCTATAAATTTCTTCAACTGCGAGATCACATACAACGAGAAAGAAGCTATATTCGTTCACTCGCCGAATTGGGACTTGCATAAAAGTAACCTTTCTGAAATAACTATTATGGTGAACCGATCACTTATAACCGACAATGGGAAGGGTTTCTATCATTTCTCCAGAGACATGAGATCTTCGAATAATTTGTTTCATTACGTCCTACAAGACAATACGATAGAACGAAATAAAGGAGATGCATTTAACGTAGCCCTTCCCTATGTTTGGGACTACAACGAAAATTTTACTCATTCAGTTTACATGGATAACAACAGTTTCATCAATAACAGGAATTTTGGTGTGGATATTGATGGGCATTTTGCTGAGGTGAATTTAACCAACAACGTTTTTAAAGAAAACAAGTGTCATAATGGATTATTAACTCTAAAAGGTATGGAGAAAAAACTACTGATCTGGGGCAATGTGTTTCAAGAAAATAACTGTAAGTATGTGGTGTTATTCAGTTGTAACAGTCAATCAGAGATCATAGGAAATATTCCAGCTATTTTCCTTCTCAATAATATGAAAAATAACAAGTACGTTCAATTAGGCAGGTCGTTTGGAGTACTGCAACGAACACAAGACCCCACTTTCGTGGTAGGTTTTAAAGGAATTCAAAAAGTTCGAATTAACAGAAACTTATTTTCCGGAAATTCCTTAAGGTACGAGTTACTGGCAGGTATAAAAACAGCAAAAGTGAACGAATATTTAAACGTCAGGGAAAACTGGTGGGGTACTGCCTCAGAAAACGAAATTCAAGAGAGAATATTTGACTTTGATGACTGGAATGACCATGCTATTGCAGAATTTAGACCATTTTTATTAGAAGAGGACTTCCAGTCGAGTCATTCCTTAATTCTCACAACCTCCAGTTCAATAGACTTCGATAACTTAAAAGGAAGGTTATGGGAAGACGTTACATTACAGGCTAGAGACAGTCCATATGTAATACAGTCAGATTTGACTATAATGCCCAATGTTACTTTGACAATTAACCCGGGGGCTGTTCTGGAATTCGCTCCAAACATCGGAATGTTAGTTCTAGGTAATCTGTTAGCTCAGGGCTTCGAAGGAAACGAAATCATAATGAGACCTCTGAGGAAAACAGAAAATCTTTTAATGTTACCTGGACCAAGTAGAAACAAACGACAGTTAGAGCTAGTGGGACAGGAAAGTATCAGGCTATGTAAGAACAGAGATTGCGTGGAAGAAAGCGAAACAACTGTTTCATACGAAGGGTTTTTAGAATGGTTCAACGAAACTACTTTACAGTGGGTACCAATGTGCGATTCCAGATTCACCGAAAGAAACGCCGAGGTTGTTTGTAGGCAGTTAGGTTTCGATCCACTCTCCGCATTTTTCGATTTTGATATCAGGATTGACTTTCACAGCAATTCGTTGTCGAGGATATGGACCTGGCCAGAACCACTGCAGTGTAAAGGAACGGAAAACAGATACGATGATTGTCCTATAAGATTAAACGGCCAGCAGTTTGGTCACAGGCATAGTTGCCAGTGGAACAGCAAGTTTGTCTTCATTAACTGCAACAACAAGGCCAGACCGCCCAAATACAATTTCTGGGGTGGAATCAGGTTTGCCGAGCCAGAATTCGAACAGAGGCTTTACTCCCATAGAGTCCACGACATCCATACTCATTCAACGTTTCAGGAAAGCGAATCCACGTTACAGTTCGTGAAAATCTCTGGAGCGGGAATTCTGCACAATGAAAGGTCGCCTGCGGTTCAAAGCGTCAGCAAGAGTCCAAAAATAAGATACGTGGAGGTTAGTTCTTCAGCTAGTCATGGTATTAACATGATCTCACCTTCGGGAACAATAAACTTACTAGGAAATAGAGTGCAGGATTCTCTAGGAGTTGGTATTAATATAGTATCGCTTTCTGGTGAAGGTCGGGAGTCGGAAGAATCAAGTTTTACACCGTTGAAGGAAATGAATATTCCTTATAATTTGTTCAGTCTGTTGGATATATGTGATACGAACAAGGAAATATTGGTGGAAGAACGCATTGTTCTTTATTACAAGTACGATAATCACCCAGTCAATTGCATCAAGATCTTCCGAAGTGCTTACAATATAAAACCGTTGGGAATTCGCTTCTTGCAATTTAATTTGTTCAATTCTTCAGTTCCTCACGGCATTCCTGATTTTGTCTCAGTATATAATGGAGATATTTACAATGTGACTTCTACGTTATTAAGTACTATAACAATGACTTCTGGTAATTCTAAGAGACTGTACAGATCTCAGTATCCCAGTCTGAGCGTGAAGTTGTTTGCTAATGGAGCTTCTTCTGACCATGGGTTTATTGCTGAAGTTGTTACTTTACCCATTTCTACAATTGCTTTCAGTAAGTATTATACCAAATATATTGCTATTAGTAAGGAACATAAATTGAAGCCACATTTTTAAGATGGGGCTATACAAAATCCACATAAGTCGGTCCTTTTCGTTCAACAGCTTTGAACTACGCAAGCGTGAGAAGTACTTCTCGATTAGTTGATTTATTTCATGCTAACCAATAGAAGTAGTTTTCTAAGTTTCTATCAACCACGTAAATCAATTTAGCGTCTGACTATTCGCGCCTTTACTTATAAATTTAAATTGAATCTCTGACAAAAAAATGTCTAATCCTCTATAGGGATTTCGCCATTCAAGAAAATCTACATAATAAAATAGTTATTTTTTGTAAACACTTCTGCGTTAATCCCAAACGGAAACTACTTGTCAGAAGTTAGGTTTACAGTTATACAAATTTGCCTAATGAACAAAAAAATGCTTAACGTTTCGGAAAGTTTATCTCTTTCCGTCGTCGGAAGCAAAAAATACAAAGAATAAAGAAAAAAACTATTTAAAATATTTAAATTCAACTATTTGAGAACACTTTAGTTTTTTTATAACAGTTACGTCTACAAAAACCGTTGACGTTCTGTTAAAATGCCATTATATCACGTTAAACTTCAAAATTAACACAATTACTACCTGAAAACAATTACTTAATAAGGTAAAACCAAAAAGCCCCAAACTTTCTGTATGATTATTTTTAATTTTTACGTAGGTAGGTATGTTATGTTCTTTACCCAAGTAGCATTTTCACGACTTGCGACCACATGTTTACTAAACACAACTTTGGATTAGTTACAAAAAATAGTTAGATCCGTACCTTGGGTATTAAAATAAATGTAAACGTGGTTGTGACGTAGTGCCGACGTTAAACTAGTACTACAACAAAGTAAAAGCTTCTGCGACGTCGAATAAACGTTGTCTTGTAACCTTTTTTGCTTAAGTGATCTTTAGGTGATTCGGACAACGTAGTTACAATGTTGCGCAATATAATAATAGAATAGGAGTTTTCCGATGTCACTTTCAGGACCTATTCCAACGTTATGCAAACGTCGTCTGTTTTACTAATTCCAACGTTGTTTAAATTTCCTTATTCTTACGTTGGTAGGACGTCGAGCCACTACCTTTTTGCAACTGTATTGAACCATAACCTTAAATCTTAAATTTTCACTTCATTGTTCTGTTCAGTCAGACAGTTCAGTGCTGTTTTTGTTTTTATAAAAAAAACTTAATTAAAATGGGACATAAGAAAGGTACATATAAAACTAAATTTAAATATACATCGACTATTACCGATACTTTATCCACTCCCTCGTTTATTTGGAATATACAGGGCGGCACAAGCTAGACTCTAGGATGACTAAATTAGGCAATCTTGTGACTAGTATACTACCTGTTAAGGCTAAACTGCGACTTTATTAGTCCAGCATGCGACTACTCGAACTACTCCATCTTAATCTCCAAAACAACAAAGTGAAAGCCGCCATATTGTTGAATAAGAAAATCTTTCGTTCCTAAAATAGCAATTCCTGCTTTTTGAATACATTAACTTAAAATATTTGACCCTAAACAACACGCGGAAACAATTTTTTCGACTGCGAATAAATTATTCTCATTTTACTAAAAAAAATTCAAGAAATTTTTTAAAACTTTTTTAATTTTAAGGCCCATTAGTATTTTTCAAAGTAGAAACAATACATTTATCAATAAAGTTGTTTGCGTTTAACTTTTTTGCCTTGGGTAACGAGTTACAGAGTCGGTTAAAGTGTTTCAATAATTATGATCTTCAAACATCCTCCACACTTAAATACTTCTGTTTTGTTTTCCTTTACTGCCATCTGGCATATGTCTCTAACTAAATCATAAAAATAATATTTTTACTATAATTATCCCAATTTAGGGGAAACACGACTTAGACGCCATATTATTATAGTTTTGTATTTCTGTGAATTAGGATTTTAAACAACGTTGCAGTTTGTACTAAATTAGGCTGCTAGCCAACGTCGGTATCCAACGTCGTTTCGACCCAAAAATTATTCTCCAAATTAGTGCAGACTAGGGTTGGCAAGATGTTGTGCCGACGTTGTGCCCCGACGTTTGGTCGCGTGACAGAACGTTGTCCCGACGTCCAAATGCTGCTTGGGTAAAATCAAAGAAGCGATTGCCATACATTACTAACATCTACAGATGCATGAGCAATACATTTATTTTTATTAGATTGTATTAAAAAAGCCTCTTTTATTTTTCTTTTAGAGGCTATCTCTTCTTTCATTATAATTTTGGTGTTATTAAAATTTATTCTGTGCCCTGTGTCCCATGAATGCTGATAAATCTCAGATTTGTGAAAATCTCCCTTTCTTAAATAATATTTATGTTCTTTAATTCGAACATTTAGGGGTCTAGATGTTTCACCAATGTAATATTTAACGCATTCGCATGGTATTTGGTATATTACATTTTTGTTTGTTGTTCTGTATTCATGGGTTATTATTATATGTTATTAATATTTAGAGTTTAAAATAGTGCGCGGACAAGTGACAGCGTTCAGCGATGAAGTAGAGGAATCCATATCGTTTTATTTGATGCGTGCGTGCCCACGAAAATCCTGTTAAACGAAAAGGATAGACTTATGCAAGATTGACATTCCTATTTCTTTTTTGGCTTCACTTTCCACTCATTGTGTAAATGCGGTATTAGCAATATATTCTTATAATATATCTGTATTTCATGACAATGTTTTAATTGTGTCTTATAAGTGCGATCCAAGAGCAAGTTATAATTTTTGTTATCATTTCTAAAATTACCAAGAACTTGTGAACCATATCCTCAAAAATTATGTTAATGTAAAGAAAAAAAAAACAATTTTATTTATTCTTTTAGGTCGTGACGTTCAACACAATATAACTTATTCAGTTATAACAAACAACACTCAGGGCGCAATGCTCTACATGGCTGCCGGTGAAGTCAACCCTATAGTAACAATCGAAAGAAACCAGATCAAATCAAACTGCAGAGCGCTGTACGGAAATTTTACTACTTGTAAATCTTCGGTTGAAATTGACGTTCAAAATACTCAATCCATATTCTTTAGGGTAAATTTAAACATCATAATTAGTTTTGTCTTCATTAATAATTAAAAAATTTCAGAGTAACTTAGTAGAACAAAATATCGGAGGTTTGTTCATTAAAGCCGATTCTCGAAGCTCAGCTACATCTCTACAAGGCTGGATCTACAACAATCTCTTTGTGAACAATACCAATTTGCCTACTTTATACGTAGAAGGAAGACAGTCATCCCCGTATCAAGAAGTAACAATTTTTAGGAATTATTTTACGAGAAACTACGCACAATATCACAATAATATCGTGCTCAAACAAGTTGTTTCGAATTTTACTTACAATTTTGTTAGAAGGAATATAGGACAACAGAATTTAGAGGTGTCTGGTTTCGATAAAGTGAGATTGAATATCTTTCAAACAACTACACACAATGGATTCTACAAGTAGGTGTTTTATTTTATATACAGGGTTGTTCATCACATACGACACGGAGCATTGTAGCCAAACGATTAGATTTTTACAAATTGTAAGTTTTGGGTTCGTTGAAAGACAATTAGAGCTACAATTTAAAAATAATTTTGCATGATACAGAGTGTCCGAAATAAGTAAAAAATATTATAGTTGTATTTTTTTAAATGGAACGCCCTGTATAAATCAGTCAAATAAAGGTAAATTTGACAAAGGTCACAATCAGAGTCAAATAAAGGTAAATTTGATTAAGGTTTATCGCACTTAAACCTTACCGTTTTGAAATATTTTCAATTTTGTGAAATTGCAGTAAAAAATGTAAGGCTTCATTTCTCCAAGGGTATTAAAGGTTTTAATACTAAATATTTACTGAAGATTATTTATTGATCAGATATTATGTTGCAATAATAAAAATTATACTACCTTATACAGAGTGTCTAAAAAATTATATTAAATAATTACTAACTTTAAGCGGCAAGAACTTGTTTAATTTAAATGGAACACCCTATATATTTTAAGTGAATCAGATGCACAATTTAATTGTCTATCAAATTGTATTATACCATTTTTTACCTATTCCTATATCCATGGAATATTGATATTTTAGATTTTTTTAAAGCAACATATGTACAAAATGCACAGATGGTAAAAATAATAGTATTGCAAGCCCATTTGTTTACAAAAAGAACACTATTTAAATCTTTCTAAAAGAGTATACCAATTATTACTAATTATTAATATACGTCTATTATGTCCGCCTACCAATTAGTTAATTACATACTTAATTGTTTTAATTAATAAATTGTAACGTTTTTAGTTCGTTACATGTCTTTTTTATATATAATATATGGTGTCTGGGCCTATCATCACCGGATTCCCTCTCGTTCAGGCCGGATAGTTTATTTGACACGTAATTTTTACGTTCTCTAGTCGGCAACCCTGCTATCGTTTCACTGTTCTGTGGAGGCGCTGTCAACATCGCTTCTGTCAACTCTCTCCGTGCTTAACGTCACTTGGCTTTGACCGTCCGACTGTCACCACCAAAAAATCCTTGCTTCGAGAAACTGCAATTATAAAAATCTTGCTGTATAATTTGAATCAGCTGCTATTTCGAAGTTACAGGGTAGAGTTTTGGATGTCCCAACCTAACTTGTATTTGTATTTTGCTGGCACAGTAGCTACGGCTGAAGTGATTCATGGTGTCCTCATTCTGGCCCCTTTTGTTGTTTTGGCCAACAGGATCGCCGACAGACAGTGCAGAGATATGAGCCCACCTCACGCTGCTACTCTTCGAAACAGGATTGCCTCAAGAACAGCTAAGTGTAGATTTAGGTTCTGGTTTTCAGTCGATTTTCAGTCTTAACTTAATAACGTACATTTTAAATAATATCGTACAGACTATATTTAGTGGTTAGATTATTAAGAACATTTATGTCGATTTAGTAGTTACAATATGATTTAGATTTTAGGTTTCATTATATTACGCCTTGTAATAGTATTACTTTTTTATAGATATTATTATTGCACTAACATCATATAAAGTATATCAAATTAATTAAAGTAATGCTACATTTCAGGTATTCTCTTAAACTTTACATGTCTGGTATTTTATCATAGTTGTTTTCATGGATATTTGGTACAATTCTTAACACCACTTTCGTTAACATATAACCACTATATATTTACTAGAACTCTACAATATCATGTACCAGCAAATAACATCATGAATAAATATAGTCATTAGTTTTAAGTAATATACAACTGTATTTTCTTTCTCTGTACATGCCTGGCGCCCAATATCTGTATTTTTTTGTTTATTGTTATTGATTAGTTTTCTCTCTAGTGAAATACCTCACCCACGACTGCTCTCCGATGAAAAGCTGCCGTTCGCAGTGGTAATGTTTAAAAAAAACGCTACACTTTATTTGGCGCCCAACGTGGGGCGCCAAATAAGGTGTAGCGAAACGACTGAAAATGTTTTAATGTTAAATGTAAAACTTGAACTTAAATCTACACTTAGCTGTTCTTTATGTAACCTTGCTTCAAACAGTAGCAGCGTGAGGTGGTCTCGCATCTCTGCACTCGGCCATCCAATACAAAAGGGGTCAGAATGAGGACACCATGAATAAATACAGTCATTAGTTTTAAGTAATATACAACTGTGTTTTCTTTCTCTGTACATGCCTGGCGCCCAATATCTGTATTTTTTTGTTTATTGTTAATAATTAGTTCTTTCCAGTGAAATACCTTATCCACGATTGCTCTCCGATGAAAAGCTGCCGTTCGCAGTGGTAATGTTTATAAAAAAACGCTACAAAATTAGTCTAAATAAATGTGGATTTTACTCAGAAATCAATACAATACTAAGTTATGTAAATGAACATCTCTGTTGTTATAAATAATCATTCGTCAAAAAAATTAAATAAAATTTATAAGGTGTTACTTTTTACCACATTGTCATACACATACAAAATTCGGGGTTTTAGTATTTGGAGCAATTATTGTTAATCAAAGTAAACAGTCAATTAATGTAGTTTTACTAGGATCATATTAATTGGTGCTATTTAACAAATATTTAAACAGTTTTTCATGTTTTTAATGAAATAAGCGAATTATATCGACCATATTAGTAACTGCTACTCTTTGAAAATTTGTTACATTTTTAAAAATAATATAAAATGTCAATATTCCATGGGTATAATGAGGTCTAAATTATAAGAAAATGCTACTTCAACAAAAACTTGAAGAGATAGGTAAAACATGACATAATACAACCTTTAAAGCTACTAATTAATTAATATATATTTTCGACACCCTGTATAAGGTAGTATTTTGTTTATTATTGCAACACAATCAATAAATAAACTTCAGTAATTATTTAGTATTAAAAACTTACATAGTACATAGTAAGTTTTTAATACCTTATCACCTTTGGAGAAATGAAGCCCTAAAATTTTTACTGCAATTTCATAAAATTGAAGATATTTCAAAAACGGTAAGGTTTAAGTGTGATATAGCTTAATCAAATTTACCTTTATTTCAGTGGTAGAATCTAAAAATATAATAATATACAGGGTGTTCCATTTAAAAAAATACAACTAAAATATTTTTAACTTATTTGGGACACTCTGTATCTTGTAAAATATTATCAAATTGTAGCTCTAATAGTCCTTCAACGAACCCAAAACTTACAATTTGTAAAAATATAATCACTTAGCTACAATACTCCGTGTCGTATGTGGTGAACAACCCTGTATAATTTAAGTTTATTTTAAAGTACAACTTTAAAATAACGAATAAATAAAGAACTATAATAAATGGTATTTATTTCAGTAATTACGCAATAAAGCCTGAAAGCAAATCAACTGTAGTGGCTGGGACAGCTGGTCAACATTACGTGGACAACATATTCTTCAATCCTGACAATGACTATGAAATAATCACTGTGAACAGATCTCTGTAAGTATATCCTATTTATTAAATTAAAATAATTAGGTCGAAATAACGGTTTTTAGATAGAATTCTTTAAAATATTAGATTCCTGGGTTATTTGTTTCACTTAGAATAAAAATTGGCAAAACTTTATACTGTTTTATAATTTTAATGCATTTTTAGTTTAACCTATGGAGTGTAGAGGTAAGGAGAAATATCTTTCTGCATTAAAAAATGTCCATAAAAGATGACTTAAGATGACGCTGCTGTAGCAAAAACCTAAAATTAAAAATATGAGCCGAAAATGTTTAGAACAGGAAATGATTCAAAAGAGATTAATATTTCACGTGAAGGCGCGATTTTCAAAAAAAATACAAATTTTATTTTCATGTCACGTGAAATAAATTTTCGACTTTTATTCAGCAGCAGTAAACTGGGCCTCTAATATTTAAAAATAATTGTGTTATACTCTAAAAAATAAAAATAAAGCTTTTTTAGGTAATGTTTGGTTATGTTAATTTTATTCTCTTATCTATGGTTACTTTTCATTTTTTAGATTTATGCTTCATTAGCGCCAATGTGGTCATTTGGTGAACCCTTATTCTTCCCATTTTTGTGACCACTTTTTCAAGTAAAGTCCCATAAGAGATATTTCTCCTCTTCTCTACACTCCATAGTTTAACCTAATAGAAATAATGAACTTAACACTTTTTTCATTAACTGTTCTACAGGTATATTAGCTGCAATAATAATATATAATTTATTTTCTAATGAACAATTCTTTATACAGGGTTATGCAATAGTGTCTCGGGCATCTATAACAGCTAAAAAAATAATTAATTTTGCAGCGTTCCCAAAAAAAAATCAATAGACTTCCTGGACGATTTTGCAGATATTCCAGGTATTATATCGCATAAGCACTTTTGCAGGACCCTGTATATAACATTTTTTTCGGTTCTGTGAAGTTACTGGCCTTCTGTCAGTTATTAATTGGCCATAGATATAAATGAGTACTTAATTTTATTAATTAGTTTATTTTTGTTGCATGAAAACGAAGATTTGAGTTTAACAGGTAAGACTCAGTATATTTATAAGGTTGGTTTAGTGCACTGTTTGTACTGTTACAATTATTTGTTGGTCATGTGTGCTTTTTGTATATTTTTTCTTTATTCAGGGCATAACACATTTGTTTTAAGTTTAAATTTTAACAACACTATATTCCAAAAGGGGAGAATCAAGTCACTTCCTTTATGTATGAGTATACATAGAATAATATCTATTCATTTGTAGCAAATTCATTTCTTCATAAAAAATTAAAAAGTTAATTTTTATTTGAATATCACAAAAATTCAGTTCAGTACAAAATTCTTATTTGTATTTTGTGTTCAAAATTAGTATTTACTGTGACAACACTTATTTTGCACACTTAATAGAAAAATAACCATTTAATTATGTGAGCTGCTTTTCTTTTATTTTTGAACAAGTCTGTTATACTAAAGGCTGACAAAGGTTAGTTTTGGGTCGATATTTCCGTATGTAAGAAGAGTACAGTGCGTTTATAATGTACTGAACAAAGAGAGAACAGTAAAGACGTTGCCAAACGTATGAAATAAACCGAGAATCTGTGCACATTGCTAAGAGACGTGGACGAGTCGTTTTAATAGTCCCCATAGCTTGTAAATTTTTAGAAAAACTGCTATTGGTAAAAATAAGTGGAATTGAGTTGGTGTTCGACAGTAGTCGCGCTATTAGAACTCTAGTTTCAATAATCAATATCTCGAAATCCATTAGAAATTGAATGTACTTTTTTTTCAAAAACTTTTTTAATATTTCTGCTATATTTTCTTCGCAGACAGTATGTGAAAATCTGTACAAATAAAAAAGTTACACGATTGCTGAAAATTGTTATGCACTAAAAGTAAATGGAAGGGTTTTTTTAAATTTCGGAATGAAAAAAAATCAAGCCTATCGATTTTTTCTCATTTAAACATCTCGAAAAAGATCCGAACTTCAAAATAAAAAAAAGTGTCAATATCTAAAGCGGTTCTTGAGTTATCGCATGTTATGTGTTAAAAATTGAGTTTTTAGATAATCGCGATTACTGGCGTTTTCTCGTTATAAAAAATATGGACACCTTAACAATATCCTTATAATTCCATTTCACATGCTCATGCTCGGAAACATATCTAATGATTTTATCTAGTTCGAAAAAAAATATTTTGAAAATAAGCGTTTTGCTTGATAAGGAAAGGCCTACCGGAGAAATGTGGCAAAGCCGCAACAGCACACACCGTCGCATTTCTCTCACTCCAACTTAATAAGATCCCTATGCGATTTACCGTTACATGTAAATACCGACCCAAAATTTAGAGTTGCCAGCACGGTATGGTGTTTGCCTCATGTTACTTGTTAAACATTATTTGTGAAAGTAATACTCTTCTGACTGTCCATTTTTGTGTTTTTATTTAGTACTCTTCAGTTATGGGACACCAAAATCGACGCAGTCTACAACTATTGGGGCGTGAACACTACCTTGGCAGTCCGAGGAAGAATTCGTGATCAAAGTGACGATCTGAGGTTGCTAGAAGTACTATACGAACCATTCTATATGACCAACCAGAGTATATTAGGCAATAAATGTCCTCCAGGATGGGAGCTGGTTGGTGAGACTTGCTACATGTATGTTGGAGCTCCCATGACGTTCTGGGAAGCCAGAGCCTTTTGTGAAGTAAGTTTTGGTATCTTTTTACCAGTTTTTTACCAAATTTTTTACTATTTCATGAAAGAAGATCTCTATAGGATCACAATATTTTATGCAATATTCCTTTGAGTATCTCATCTACATAATTCATTCTAATTTATTTTTATTTTGGTTATTTTTTTAGGCTGACAATGCTTCAATGCCATACTTAGTCGGAAATGTGAATTATTTACCATTATTCGACTTCCTAAGACGCCAGTACCAATGGTACTTGTATTCTGACAGAGTCTGGGTCCAAGATATCGATAGGATAAGACAGTGCACTATATTTGCGTACCAGGCTGTCCAGATCGAAGACTGCAACAGGCGTAGCCCATTTATCTGTGAGATTGGTAAGTTTTAAGTTTGTTGGGACTATTACATGTTTCATTTAAGGGAAATTTTAATATATTAAATGTTCAGAAAAAACTAACATAAAAAATTCATTGCTTCTGGTTGACTGAAAATATTATTGTTTCGAAAAAAAATATTTTTAAATATACGTTCTTTTCAGATCCACAGGTTTCCATAAGCATTATGCCTTTAGCAAATGATTTTGTTACAATAGCAGTGTTTAGCAGTATAGCAATTGCAATTCTTCTGATAATAATTGTAGTGTCTTTCTGGTGGTACAAATCCAAGTACAGACATGCCCAAAGATTAGAAAGGAGAAACAGTATCAGGCAAAGTCTACATTCTTTAAGATCAGTGGGACTGTCGACCAGTCCTTTTGCTGATCCAAATTATAGGAAAAAAGTTGGACAATTAGTAAGTGACTAGCTTTTTATTTAAAATATGTCTTAAGTTTGAAATTTGTAACTATAAGCGATACCAATTAAATTTTTAGTTACGTAATCGAGGGCGCGATTTTTAAATTCATTGTTGCCAACCACTGATATAGTCGACACCGGGCTGATAACTGTATAATTATTTTTTTTTTGGTTTCCCCTAAAATATTTTGATTAAAAGAAAATATGTAAAAGTGGGCAACGCTGTGTCGCTCAAATTTAATCACGTGACTAAAAGCTTATTTGCTGTGAACTAGTTAAGTTAACATCAATTAAGATATACAGAGTGAGTCTTAAATAAGTGGAAATATTTTCACAGGGCTCCATAAAAGAAACATATTTTATCTTTACCGTTTTGCAGATAAGTCCAAGATAACCGAGTTATTGTTGCCATAATATCAAGATATTATGTTATTTAAGTAAAAATTTAATTTTTTTTGTAAGATACCAATTTTAAAAAAAGTGCGAAAAAACCATAGACGTGTTTCTGGGGCCGAAATATACCACCCCTAAAAATATTTGCACTTATTTAAGGCTCAACCTGTACGTAGCGATACTTGAAAAAAAAATAATTGTCTATTATTGTTGCTTTCAAAGAATAAATCAACAGTTAAATATAGATAGTTTACAAAAAGCAATGTGACCTGAGCCATACATAAATAATTTTGAATGTTTACGATTTTGCAATATAGTCAACATTGTTTATATTTAACAGAATTAGTTATATTTGGATAAAAAAAATTCACAATAGATAGATAAGAATAGAATTTCAAGTAGAAGTCAAAAATGCAAAAATGATCTATTTCTATTGACACATTTTTACTTTTTTTCAGAGTACTAGATCGACAGATACTCTAACAAAAACTTCAGATTACAAGAAAGTCATCAGCAACGGCTCAATTGACAGCATGGAGAAGTCGGCTTATAACTCTTCAGTAGAAGACACTCATTCAGTTGACACTTATGAACCTTCTAATCCTAATCCGTTTACAACTTTAGACTACCACAAAAGTCCTTCCAAATTCGATAACCACTATTCCAAACCTGCTTACGATTTGACATTTAAAAATGCTGGTTTTAAAGATACGTCTACTTTTGCTACTAATAGTAATTATCAGTCTCAAGTTGGCAGTATACAGGACGAGACTATAACAGACGAGACTCCAATCATGCAACCTTATAAGCTAAATGGGGATTCTTCGTATCCCCCTAGCGATTATTTTAATACGGATACACTTCCATTGCACGGCGGAAGTACTAATAGTTCTGTTACTAGAAACTACGAGCCTCCCAGCTACACATCAGACAAACCTTCTGGGTTGTTACAAGAACTGAAATCTAGACTACCTAAAGCACCTGCTAGAAACTATTCGCCAACGTATTCTAATCAAATAACTGATATGGAGTACAGTCCGGACTATAATACAGTGGGTTTGGCACATCCTGGTCAGTTTAGTAGATCTAGATCTGTCCAAGAGGATGATGGATACCAAGTACCGGTGCCACCAAAGCCAAAGACTAGAGCGAAGAGTGAAGTGTTGTTAGAAACTGATTTTGACTACATTCCTCATGACGAGGCGGTGTTCAGTCTTACTCTGGGTGATTCTGGAAGGAGTAAGAGTCAGCCTTTGGAGACAGCAATGTAGAACTGAAGGGAACCAAACACAATGCCAAGCTGTGATTATTTGAAAATATATCTTCCTATGCTAGAAAGAATTGACGATGGCTTCTAGAAATCAAATCAACCAAATTTTTATAAAACTAAACATTTCTTACAGTTAATTTCGTCCTTGACAGTTAGAAATGCTGGGTTTAAAGATACGTCTACTTTTGCTACTAATAGTAATTATCAGTCTCAAGTTGGCAGTACTAGAAACTACGAGCCTCCCAGCTATACATCAGATAAACCTTCTGGGTTGTTACAAGAACTGAAGTCTAGACTACCTAAAGCACCTCCTAGAAACTATTCGCCAACGTATTCTAATCAAATAACTGATATGGAGTACAGTCCGGACTATAATACAGTGAGTTTGGCACATCCTGGTCAGTTTAGTAGATCTAGATCTGTCCAAGAGGATGATGGATACCAGGTACCGGTGCCACCAAAGCCAAAGCGAAGTGTTGTTAGAAACTGATTTTGACTACATTCCTCATGACCAGGCGGTGTTCAGTCCTACTCTGGGTGATTCTGGAAGGAGTAAGAGTCAGCCTTTGGAGACAGCAATGTAGAACTGAAGGGGACCAAACACAATGCCAAGCTGTGATTATTTGAAAATATATCTTCCTTATACACTTCCATTGCACGGCGGAAGTACGAATAATTCTGTTACTAGAAACTACGAGCCTCCTAGCTACACATCAGATAAACCTTCTGGGTTACAAGAACTGAAGTCTAGACTACCTAAAGCACCTCTTAGAAACTATTCACCAACGTATTCTAGTCAAATAACCGATATGGAGTACAGTCTGGACTATAATACAGAATCAATGTTCAGTCCTACTCTGGGTGATTCTGGAAGGAGTAAAAGTCAGCCTTTGGAGACAGCAATGTAGAACTGAAGGGAACCAAACGCAATGCCAAGATGTGATTATTTGAAAATATATTTTCTGATACTAGAAGGAAATAGTAAAACTTTCTTTCTAATACACATCAATAGTCTATCTAGGAAATGAATATGTGACATAATGATAGTTGTCTATCATATTGATTAAGAACAAAATCAAAGCTACAAAAAAACTTTTATTTTTAAATTTTTTAGCGATTTGTAAGTGTCTTATACAAGACTGAGAACAATTATTAATAACGAATAATACTGTGGTTGCAACAAGAAAATACTAAAATACATGCACTTTGGTTTACCAAAATAACGCAACATGTGCCTTTGTTGACCGTCCAAAAATTAAAAGGTGTAACATGTGATGTCATTTTCATATTTATCTACAAAGTGTTTTAGAATATTTTTATCCCAAAACTTATATTTAAGATTTACATATAGAACAAATATTTATGCTCAATCTCAATATGTCTTAATACGAAAAAGCAATACATTTAAAATTTATGTTATACAGGATGTGATGTGCAAAAATGTTCAGGGTTGGCAGATATCGATACAAGAAACTCATTTTCTCTTTACCGTTTTTCAAATAAGTCTAAAATAACCGAGATATTTTGCTTTGAAAATTAAAAAAAATATATTTTTCGCCTAAATTTTGAGAACCGCTGAATCTTTTCTAGGTTTTCTTTCTTGTAAGTTTAATCTACTGCCTATGTTGCCATATTATGAATATATTATGTTTTTGTCTAAAAATTTAAGAAATTTCCAAGAAATTTTTAAAAAATTCCAAGTTTTCCTCATAGACATGTTTCTGAGGTCGAAATATACTACCCCTAAAAATATTTGCACTTATTTAAGACTCACCCTGTATAGAATTGGAAAAAACAAGACACATATAAGAAAAAAATAGATAAGGATATAAACTGATAATATAGCTGAGCATTTAAGCATTTTAAGACATTCCTATAATTTAGGAAACACACTGTATGTACATATGTAATTGTGACTTATACCGTACTGTTAATTTTTAGCTTAAATATTATTTATTTCGAATGTTACGAATAGACGATAAACTATATTTCTACTGATAAAATTATTTTAAAAATAAAATGTAATAATTAGATGTGATACTAGTTTGTTGTTTTGTATATAATCCGATTTTATACTGTTATATTATAAGGAAATTTTAAAAATTTTAAACGTTCATTTTGTAGAGAACAAATTTTAATTAGGTATAAAAAAGAAATAAGTGCTTTAAATAATTTGTAAATAAGCAGTTAATATAGCGACCTAAGTTTAATTATTATAAGCATGTGTGTTTTGCAATATGATTGTTGTAAATATTTATGCCTTACGTTTGTTTGTATAAACGATTAGAATTATTATCGACTACGTTATGCATTAAAATACTTTTTACTACCGATAAAGCAGTTTTATTTATTTTTAATTGCCCACGGCTATAGTTTGCACTGACCTATAGTGTACCTAATTAATGCAAAAACTTTATAACTAATCTATAATGTAATAAAAAACGTATTTTAATTATGTTCTACTTTTTTTATTTATCAAATAATGTCGTTTTAGTATTATTAGCGTAAGTTATTATTACAGTGTATGCTTATAAAATTTGGACACGTATAAAAGTATACAGGGTCGGACTGGCCATATAATCTGGGTGGTCTTTGCCAACCGGGCCCCAGCCTAAAGTAAGGCCCCCCTAGCTTACGATCTACAGGGTGGTCCGAAGTGCATTCCGGAAACTTCGGTAGCATATTCTGCAAGTAAAAATAAGTAAAAAACTTCTTATAAATATACGTCCTAAAATGCTTACCTAGTTTCGGAGATACAGGGTGTAGAAGTTTCATTTTTATTTCGATTTTTTCCAAATAATTTCTGAAGTAACGTCAATATTTGGATGAAAATTGCTGTCGGATAGTTTTTTGACATGAGAAATTTGATTTTGATGTCATTTGAACTATTTGTAGAGGGCACCACCTACATGTGTTTTAACCTTTGTTTTAACTGTTTTGAAGAGTAATAACTTTTTGTCCATACCTGTATAGAACTACTGAGTGAAAAAATACACATTTTCGTAATTTTTTAAGAAAAAAATGTCTCTTTGTAAAAATCGTTACGAGCAACCCTTCTCGAGATATCTAGAGTGGAAATAGTCAATACATGTCATTATTGACAAAAAATAAACATGTTGAGTAGATAGTTATTTGACTGAAATGATAAATTTGGGAAATTTTATTTTTTTAAATTAATCATAAAATTTTCTTCGAAAAAATGATGACTGATGATAATTTTTGCACAAAAAACATTTTAAATTTATGATTTCAGTTTTTTAAGTATTTAGTCAACATGTTTGGTTTATGTCAATGATGACAGGTATTGATAATTTCGATTTCAAATATCTCGAGAACTATTACTTGTAGCGATCTCTATTTAGAGAGCTTTTTATGTTAAAAACGTCGTAAATGTATATTTTTACTTAGTAGTTTTATACAGGTACGAACGAAAAGTTATTACTCTTCAAACCAGTTAAAAATATGTACGTGGCGCCCTCTACAAGTAGGAGTCATATTGACATCAAAATCAAATTTCTTATATCAAAAAACTCCCAGACACCATTTTTCATAAAAAAAATGATCAAAAAAAGATATGTAAAAAGGTGGAAAAAGTATTTATTGTAAAAGTAATATTTTTTAAAAGAAAGTGATTGTGGGTGTAGTGAGTGTAGTGTCATAAAAGTTATCAAAAATTGTTTGGAGGCAAGCAGAAAAATATATAAAGACTGTTCATCTATCGTTCAACGTCACGTCATCATTATATGTCAAATATGAATTTTAGAGTGTGTCTGAGATCAGTTCAAACGTGGCTAACGTCATATTCAAGGTCTGACTGTTTTGACAGTTCTACCGAAGTGATCGAGAATTAGTAGTCGTAAACAAACCTATTGTTTTCATTAGTTTCGTTTTTTACGCGTTTCAATGCTAATAAAATTATACTAAATAATTTTCAGTATACTCTGAGTGAATAGTGAACTATCTAGATCTGATTCATAACATCGTACCCGCGAAAAAAAACATACTTTCGGTAAAAATTATAGTAACCCCGGCGATGCTGGCTGTGTGTCCGGACTAGGAAAAAGTTGGGGAATTTATATAAAAACATAATTAATAGCGTTAGTGTTAGTGTATAGTGTTAAACCAACGTAAGTGACGTGTATTTTTAGGTAAAACAGTTTTCGTTTCTTTATTTTTACTTTGTGAAATAAAAAATCCCGCGACATTGTTCTGTGCTTCTGTGCCTTGTTATAGCAACAATTATAATAAGTCCTCAGGATCTGTTTCTACGTTCTCTTTCCCAAAGGACCCCGAAAAACGTAAGAAATGGATATCTGCGATCCATCACGAAAAGGCTTTCACTGTATCAAATGCTTCTGCTGTTTGTGAGAAGGATTTTGCAGAATGCCATGTGATAAGGGAAAATTCGGCTATAAGGGCCGATGGTATACACTACTGGCAAAGGAATATTAGCAATAGGAGGTTTTCAATGCGATAAAAAAAGATGGTAAGGTTGCAAAATACACTGCAGTGCAACAGAGACGGATAAAGTGTCTTTTCCCTACCATCGTATAGGGGAAGTGATCATAGAAGTGATACGACAATAGAGCCCTGCGAGAGGGGGCGCCGGGCGGGTCTTTATGACGCTTGTGTGGGGGCTACCGCCTACTAACAGAACAGAATCGAAAAATAGAAACAGGACGGACAGTGTTGCCATTCAATTAAATCGAAATTATGTTGGCTTGTCAAAATCCTAAATCTTCTAATCCCATTGTCTTGCCTACTTAATGAAATATTAAATAAAGTACGAAACAATTTTAAGAATGTTTTCTCTAGGCACATAACTTCTTTCTAAAACGAAAAGTAACATGCAAAACTTTGATATCATTTCTAAAATAGCAAGTGCAATTCTATGAAATGGCAATACTGTACGATCTTCCTAGCAGTCGCCCCGACACAGTCGGTCAGCGGCGGCGCTTGACAAAGTCGCGGCTGTGACAAAGGAATTAGGCCGAAAAAACTTTATAAGGAGTAGACGAACAGGGTTGCCGGGTTTGTTAGATTATAATTCCATACGAAAACAAAATTCTCGGTAGATCTTCAACAAAAATTAAAAGTACAGAAACGAAATAAAATATAATATTTAAGTCCAAAATTAGCATTCCTATGTGTCGTAATAGATCACTCAAATAAAATACAAATATAATAAATATAACAAGAATTAGAAATAGCTAGGTATATTATTTAATATTAAAAAAAATATTGAATTAAATAATATTAATATATTAATAAAAACATATAAAACTATAACAAGTAGGGATAGCAGTCAAAAATTAGTGTAGCAGTCACTTTTTACCTTTGTACAAATTTTGATCAGTGATAATTTCATTTCAATGGGAAAGCTGTAGCAACTCTCAACTCTTTTTTCATATTAATATACTTTTTTGACGGGAAAATCACTAAAATATTTGTCCGAATTTAGGTTGTTTCTTAACTTAAATTTTGTTTTTGTTTACATTTTTTGGGGGAAAATATGGGTTCAACTTTAGTAGATGAATGAAATAAAATCTTTTCAAAAGATATCAACTTATTCGGGCATGTCGCCAATACCGCGCCTAATAAGGAGTAATAAGGATTTTTAGGAATATCTCTGTAACTCTGCAACTAGACAGAACGATGACCTGTATGTGTGTTATTACTAAATAAAATTTAATGAAACAATAATAAAGTCAGATTATACAGATTCAACGCGGCAGTCGCTTAATTTTAGTCAAATAAGTCAGCTTTTAAAAGTGCTTCTATTGTAAAAAACTAAAGACGCAGTTGAATATATCGTTAGATTTTTCTTTAAATCGGTAGATCGGTAGCTTACAGACGAAACCGGTAGACCTGGCAACTCTGTGATGAACTGACGGGAGTCGGAATAGCGAGGTGCGGAGGCGCGGGAAGGGAAATAAAATAATGGCGATAAATAAAGGACAGGGAGATGGGTATCATGAGTGGATGGGAAGTGGCGGAATTTCCAAAATTTGTTATCTTATTGGAGTTTGTCTAAGTAGACAGTCGTAGTGGCAGTGGAAACGGGGAAGTTGTTGTCCATCTCTGTTTAAGCATAGACTTTTTATAGGCGTTTCATTCCAATGCATGTAATTCCTATGCCTAGAGATCCATTGCCGGGCCTGTATATTAACTGTAACTAGGTGACGTTCAAAACCTACAGAAGATGATGTGCCTACAATTTTTCCAAATCAACCCTCTTATATGACTGTGTATGTTGCAACATCCCGATGAAAGAAAACAAGGTTTGGATATTCAGGATGAAATAAATTTTGAAAATGATTATTATTATTATGAAATATATTATTATTATGAAATGGCAATATATTTTAAATAAATTAAATGAATTGTACTTTATTTCAGTATTTTATATAAAAAAATATTATATCTTTATCTTTTTATTTACCATTTATTGAGACGGTTACTTAATGAACATCGAACTACAAATTACTTAATGATAATAGTTAATTCTACCTGATATCCACATTTTTTAAATGTTAGGCAAATTTTTACAATTATTTTTAATTAAATTTAAAAATGTATTCTGCCCTTATCATAAACAATACATTTTCTTAACTTGTCGATAAACGAATAGTTTTCAAATTTTTTAATATTTGGAAACTTTTTATCACAAGGTAGGTATATTATTTATTATTACTAATCGCTAAATACTTGCTAACGCAATTTTAGGACATGCTTTTTATTATCTGGATTTCATTCTGTTCATCTTAGGCTGTAGTTTATTTCATATTAATATTCGTGTTTTAGATCTAAATTTTAATGCTATTGAATTACTTTAACGCGATAAAAAGTTAATGTTATTTTTTAATACCTTTGTGTATAATATTTTTCATATTTATATCTGGCAAAACTATCAATAAATACTATTATTTATGCAAAAAATATATGCAGTACCATATTATGGCACAATTCAAAAGCCCGACTATTGCGCTGACGTCACAAATCGATGTTCTGGCCTGTATCTCATGTTGGTTATGTTTCATATTGTTCAGAAAATCTTAAGTACGTTCCAATATTATTGATTGTACGAGTTCCGTTTTTTTTGACATTTATTATTTTTTTCTTGCACTCTTCATCAGTTACAATCAATTTAGTTCCAGTCCTTTAGACTGTTGAAATGCCGTAATGACGTCACCAATCATCTTGTTATCAAGTGATTGAGAGAGTTCGACAAAATATATAATAATAATAATAATATATGACGTGACGATGAACGTTGGCTGAATATTCTATATCTAATATATTTAGTGAGTAAAACATACTTTTTACAAATTATGCATTTTTACAAACAAAAAAATGAGGTAACCATTTATGCACAAAGGTGCATTTTTTTCATTATAATATAATTTTTCGTATTGACTTCATTTCTAAGTTGCTTAACAAAAAACACCGGCTTTATTTGTAATTCTGCTTGCCAGATTTACCCGCCCTTGCCAAAACTCGAAAAACCAGCCAGCACAAAACTTCTTTTGTCTAAAACGTGACTCTTCCGTCTCACCCCCCACCCCGCACTTTGATGCACCGCTAAAACTCATCGATAAACTTGGAAAAGAGGCGAACTTCTGGTTTTTGGAGCCTTCCTTCAACGAAAAACGACGACCTGGCAACGTGGCCCTCGAGCGCCCGATTTCAGAACAACTTGTTATATGTTATGCAACTCTCGCGTGCGCGACAAAGACAGCCAACGTTATGTGGGCGAGCATGAATGCATAGTAAACATTAGCCAATCACAGACAGCTAGGAACCGGGCTTACCTTGTCATCAATGGGAGACGGACGAGTCCATTCGCAACTCCGAGGGAATGTCGGTAGGTGATAAAAGATATTTTAAAGACCTTAGTTACGTTTTTTAAGGTGCTTATGTTAATCGAGGTTGTTTTATGGGTGGTTTTATAGTGGGACTGATGTAAAGTGTTGTTGAAGTGCGCGTCTAGGGTGGTTAAGGAAGTAAATATTATATGTAGGACCTTACCTGGTAGTAATAATGGACTGTTCCGATGTGATAGTGGAGATCAGCTGAACTAGCTTTCCGTACAAATCAGTAGTAGTAAGAGCCGGGTAGAGAACAGACGTGGCCTAAGTAAATTCCGTTATGGCAGTATTTTGGCTCTAAATTCTGAATCTCGCGGCCATTTTTCCACGCTGCTCGTGCGTTTTTTTCGCTAAATTTTCCAAAAACTAAATCAAAGTGGCGAACCCGACGGGCCATCGAAAGAAAGACATGTTAAAATTTCTCACGCACAAATTAAGGACTCACTCGATTAACGAAGAAAACTACAATCAAAAGGTGCGTAGCTTCGACGATTCCCATTTTCAGTTCAGCTGTTTGTTGTTTTTATGTGTGTGAGTGTGTAAGATCATAGTAACCTCGCTGAAGGTCACGGAAAGCGGCGTAGAGAGAGGAAAAAAATGGCTGCTGCGGATCGAAACAGAGGAACATCGGAACAAAGGAATGCAGGTTTCAGGGCATGCTGTCATTTTTCTGCTTTCTAATTCCTGATGTGTAAAGCCGTCTAACGCTTCTATCCCCCGATGGTGTGCAGTAATGGAGCTATTATATGGCTGGTCGTCTCGATCTTTATGGACAAATATTACCGGTTTCTACAAATAACTGCACATTTTTCCTTTTTTTATCCATGTTGTACTATTCGGGTTTTACTATTTACGTCCTTTCCATGTGTGACGAGCATCACGAATGGAACTATACAGTTTTCTGTTCCTAAATATATCAAATTGGGTTATTTTTAGGGATTCTATTACAGTTTTACTTGAAAATATTACTTTATATGGTTAATAATTTATAAAAGGAAGTATGGTCTTTAATTTTACTTTAGTTTCAATTTCGAGAGATAGGTGAAGTTATTTGGGAAATATTTCGCATGCTAGATGTTAGAAAGCTTTCAGCATTAAAATTCATATTCTCATAATACACAGGCTTTAAATTGTAATATATTTTGGTTGGTTTTAGTCTTAGATAAAACTGAGTTATTATTTCAAAATATTGGCAATGCAGATATAAAATTATGTGAAAGCCTAATTATGAAAGTAAAAATAGAAAAAAGGCTGAAAAAATTGATGAAAATTATATAAATTAGCAGGTTACAGTTTATATCCTGCAGCAGAATATTAAAATGTGTCCAAAACTAGGCACATGAGATGAAAAAATTGTCTATAAAGAGACTCGTAACAATAGGTGATTTTACCTGTTTAGGGCAATTGAATTGAGTTCATTTAAGACTCTTAATCCAACGACTTAATAAATATGTCGGGTTTATTTTAATTGTCATGAATGAGAAACATCTTGAAGGCACTTGAAATTTGTTTTCAAATCGGGATTTTTATTATTTGTTGCTTCAGATGGTGAATGGAGGTATTTTTTTTGAATCGTTAAACAGTTTCTGTACTATTCTATTTCAGTGTGATAGAGGTTACAGAGATAAAACTATTTTCGTAATTATTTGATTAAAAGATTGAGTGTTATTATATTTTTAAGTTTTTATTTTAGTGGTGACTGGTGACTTACCCAGAAGAATCCATTGCAATAGAGTTATACTTTTACAATCAAGATTATTAACTGACCGATTAGAATAACCCACTCATTGAATCATTTTTATTGGCCTAAAAGAAGAAACAAAATTTACATTAATATGTTATTTTTTTATTGATTTTATAATAAAGTTGAATTTAACAAGAGATTATTTTTTATTTCAAATTTTATTTGAAACTGTTAAAGTCTCTTTGTGCAATGTTTTAAATTTGAATTGTATGGATAATTATTTTTTAATAGCGAACAAATCTATAGCTAGCCATTTAGTGCTGTTGTGTTGTTAATTGCCAAGTTTCAAATCGATGTCTCTCATGAAACCAAGAACTGTAGTAGATGTAGTACCTATCAGGTGATATAAAATTTGGCGGAAAAATTCTACTGGATGATGTTCGGAGACAGTTTTGTCTTCCCTATACCAAAGAGTAGATAAGACAAGAGACGACAGTGAACAAAGAAGTCGAATTTCGCGAGAGAGACGCAGATGTATTAAAATTTAAAGGTCCCGTCAAGTCCCATTGTGTCTGTTGCCAAGTATATTTCTTTGAAAAATAAACAAGATTTTCTTAAAATAAATTAATAATATAAGAAGGATATAAGTAACGTATGTTAATACGGAAATGTTAATTTTTAGTTTAGGTTGGTTTAGGTTCTTTTTTCGCAATGTACTGATAATATCAAAGAAACAGAATGACTTAAGTTGATCGATTTCAAAGATAAACAGATAAAATCTGACAACGGCGTATTTTATTTATTCTAACCTATGATTTTAGGACGCTAATCAGCTGTGCTAATCAGGCTTAAACATAAACTTATCTGATTAGTTGTTTTCTTGCATTTTTGCCTTTTTAAAGTGTGTTTTCAGAGTTTTTCGATATATTATCGTTTTGAGAGTTTTTAAGGTTTAATTTTAGTATCGTTTTTATTGCGTACTAATTTGTAATTATTGTTAAATATGAATACTGAACAGGACACCAGTAGCAGGAAAAGACGAGATGGTGGCAATGTGTGTGCTTATAAAGACTGCAAAAATAGGTCTTATTCTTCGACAAACATAATATTTCACTCTTTTCCGAAGGATCCTGAAAAGTATTTTTATAGAAATATACCATATAATTATGTTATTAAACTAAATGTAATCCATAGATCGAAGACATGGTTAGAAGCTTGTAATCGCGAGGATTTATTAAATAAAAATTGAGCAACTCTATTTTTTTGTACATAAACTCCACATTGTGATATTACACTTGTTCAAGTCCATATGTAAAAAAAATGCACGTAAATAAAACATTTCTTACAAATCGACTTGGTCACTTTCTCTTGTTTACCAACGATTTACAAAATATTGCTTTTATTATCTTTATTCCCCGACAAATGTTTCTAATTATAATTTATTTTATATAATATTTAGAAAACTCATTTATTTTGTTTCTATTTATTTCTTTACCCATACAGTAACTATTTATAAGCTATACAGGCAAGTTTTTATAATAGTCTATTTCAAATTTCCCGCGAAAAAATTACGAAAATTTAAAGGGACAAGCGAGACGAGGTCACTCTCTCCACCACTCAAACATGAAAGGTACCGCGCGAACTGTCGCCTCTTGTCTTATCTACTCTTTGCCTATACTCTGCAGATTGATTGTGTGCTAGACGTAATCTGTAAAGATGATATTGAAAAGGTGGATGTCCTTGTAGAGTGTTTATGAGGGGGATTAATCAACGCGACCTTACAGATCTATTGTGCGTTCCCCTTTCTTGAGTTGTAACGAGTTATAACTGATCATGCAGTCTCAGAGCTTTGACAAAAGCCATGATCTGAGACGGCTCCACAGAGGCCAGTTCCCCACCTCCGACATCAATCGTACCAAAGTTTATGGCAGGAATGGTTGTCGTCTCGGCGCACTCAGCGATGAGGTGTTCTGGTATTTCCCCATTTTCTGCACAGAATCTGCATTCGCCGTTGTTTCTCAGCTTCAATCTACTGAGGTGTTCGTTGAGGAGACAGTGTTCTGTTAGAAACCCCGTGGCAATCCGAAGATTGTTTTTCCTAAAATCAAGAAAAATCTTTTATTTTTCTCGGTTGTGGATGTCCTTAAACAGTCTTGATGGTTTTTGGGTTATCTTGAATTTCATCAATATGTTGACATCGTAGAATGATAAGCTGTCGTATCGTTTTGTTGTATCGTTTTGTATGTATACATGTATATACCTCGAAGAGCTGTCCACTAACTTTGTGCTCGACTTCTAACCAACTTCTATTAATACAAAGAATTTCGAACTTCCATTGTCTTTATTTATTTTGATTAACATGCACAACTTTTCGGTCAGAAGGATCACTGACTACTGTTCTGTTTTGACCAAACATGGTCCGCAACTTCCATGTTACAGATAAACAACTGGTGATTCTTGGTAAAGTATTTTACAAGTTTTAGCATGCTATTGTGAAATTTGACTATATTTTCTCTCAAATATATTTGTACTCATTAAATATACATTTAGCAGAAATAAATCCTCAAAGTACATTTTTCTAATTTGCAGTTAAGTATGGCCATATTCTTCTTAACCATACTATTTATTAGGCGATTTTACATTTTCGTACTCCGTTCATGTTGAAACGGCCCAGCTATGTCGAAACACTGCTTTCCGATCGAACACCGAAGTTAAAAATGTGGAAACTTGTGGGTGTAATATCAATTGAGTACAGCTCATTCACGCCGGATCGGGTATTTCGTGTGTTAAAGTTACCCTACATGCAACGATTTGATCTGCATGCCGTTCTTTTCACACTACACCTTTCAGATTTTATAAGAGTTAATTTCGTCAGTCTATAGTCTAATACTGTTCCCACCAAATCTGTGGTCTGTGCAGTTAAAGTATTCGGCATGTTAAAAGGTCGCAGATCTCATCTCTTTGATAAGATCTTTATCGAAGCATCACTATACGTTGAGTTTTGGACTGAATCGAAGGACTGTTCAGTTCAAATCTCTCAGATATTGTTGCATGTAGGGCCCTTTTAAGAGCTCACATGTAATTTCCAGTCGGCCGATTATTTAGTTGCAAAGGTAGTATGATGCGATTCTTCTTATGAAGTGTGAGCTGCATATGAGCCCCTATCGTAGGGTTACCAACAGTCCTCTATTCCAGAGGACAGTCCTCCTTTTGATCTCACTGTCCTCTTTTCTCTCGCGTATTGAAAAAGTCCTCTTTTACAATCTATCGTCATGCTTTAAAAAAATTTTAATCTGTGTCTTTTGCTAGTTCCACTCGTTTTGTACAGAAAAGAAAATGAAGAAATATTGATTTATGTACAAGAAGTATTTGTTGAAGCTATAAACATGTTTAACTATTTTATGTTTGTTTACTGTTAGCTTATGTTTTGAAAAAAATAGTTTTGTTAAAATTGGTTTGTTTTATTTGAACAAGTTTGGAGAAAACATTTTTTAAGAAAGACCATCAACTGCATACCGTTTCATAGCTTTTTGGTAAATTTTATGCATTTGGGCGAGGTTTCAAAAAACGTTTTGCCTGTGCCTCTTTTTTACCTCGCTAAGTGGGTAGGCCATTATATGGCTGATTGTAGAATGTAGAATGTTTAGGAGGGGAGTTAATCACCGCGACCTTATAGATCTATTGTGTGTTCCCCTTTCTTGAGTTATAACGAATTATAACTCATCATACAATCTCAGGGCATATGGCTGATTATAATAATTAATTCGGAATCTGTGTAAACAGAGTAGGCTACGTCCAGATTATTCCTAGTAAAACCGAGACATTAACTAAAAAAAATATTTCTACTTTTTGAAGTTGACAAGTTTATTTGCAGTTATCTGAAATACAGAGCTTCCATTAACATTAAAAAATACTAATAAGCATAAAGTAAACTTTGTTTTTTTTTTGTAGCTAGTTGTCTTGAAGATACTGTATATACAACTGTATTTATTTATAATATTCTTATAGTACTATAAACTCTGACTCGGCTATCGCAACGATTATAAAAGCTGTTTACATCAATATTTCTTTCTGACATTCATTGGCACATAGCCTGAGAATTTCACAAGTGAGATAGTTATATTACGAAATATCGGTGATACTATTTTAGCCTTAAAAACAAACATATTTTAAATAAGATAATTTCAATTTGTGTTTCTTTTGGCATCCGTGCTTCCTTGTGTTTGTTTTAAATACATATATAAATCAACTTTATTATTTTTAGAGATGGTGTGATGTATAAAACATTTGTTTTACGACAGTCCAGCCCTTGTTTATCCAAAGTACGAGGTTTATATACCCTAAAACTAATTTAGCTCTTGTTCCATTAGTAGGTATCCAAAAATATCTTTATTGATTAATGTTTAATTTATTATTGTTATAAATGGCTTTTATTATTGAAAGGTAATATACCAGCTTTAGATAATATTATGTTTTTTGTCTTTTATATTGTCAATAAGTCGATAATAATGAGGCCATTAGGTATAGATTTTGAATATAATTACACATAATTCTTATTATGAGAAGAAAAAATAATGATTTAGTTGATCTTGTAGTAAATTTATTAATTCAAATAATTAAAGGACTTAATTTCGTGTATTCTATATTTTTACTATGCATATATCATAGAATTTAACAACGTATGTCCTACAGGGTTTATACATTTTGTAGGGACCAGTTAGAGCTCCTATAATATCATAGTAGAAGGATAAGAGTAGTTGCACTCTTTCAAATATTTTCTGCCAGTTTTTACAATCTGTCGAATATCGGCAGAATGCAGAGCGTTTCAGTTGAGTTCCGTCCGTCGACCTGCGAGGTTCGAGCGTTGCGTCCCAGGCACAGAGACTGACAAAATTTGACAATGATTGACAAAAAATGATAACCGGGATCACCCTACACAGGGTGAGTCTTAAATAAGTGCAAATATTTTTAGAGGTAGTATATTTTGGCCCCAGAAATATGAGGATTTTTCTGCGCATTTTTTTAAAATCGGGAAATTTTGTTCGTTTTTAGTTAAAAAAACATAATTTCTTAATAATATGGTAACTAGGGTTCAGAACCGGAAATTCCCGGTTCTTTTGAGATATCAAAGAACCGGGACTCGAAACAATAATTAAAAAAAATATTCTTTCATTACGTGAGAAAGTAGTAATGCTATTTCTCATTGTTCTTGGTTCTTTTCTCTTTTGAAATTTCTGTAATTTTTATTAGCAATTATTGAAGTTTAAATATGTTATTTTATTATTTAATACAATGTGTTCTTCAATGTATTAGTTATCTAATTAAAATCACCTAACCGATATATTACTACGAAACAAACACATTAATGTTAAAATAAACTTGTTTTAAATAAAAGAAAGTCTCTTATCAGAAAATCTCTGATATAAATAATAATATAAAAATAAGTCATTATATATTTTTTCCGCATTTCTTCCCATCAGAAGATTTTCAGATACAGAAGAAGAATTGTTACTTACACGAAATGTGAAATTATTCTGTTTTCAAGCAAATTTTTACTCGATGATCAATTTTACTTTATTTTATTTTATTGGGAATTCATATTTTCCTAAATACATCTCTGTGAAACTATGGCGAGTGCCACGATTATACTTTGCCTAGTTATAGACCTCGACTATACAGCTATGTCAGTGGTCACGGGACGCGAGAACAAGGTCATATAAAGTGGCAGAAAAAGAACAAAGGATTTGACAAGGAGTAAAGCTACTAGTTTCCTTATACTGTGATAATATTGTAAAATCCTAAAATTAAGAAATGGCCTCTTATCGCCGCTTTTAATCATCTGATTTATATATTTAGGATTATCTACACCCTGGTGATTCATTTTATATGACTTCATATGATTTTGAATTGCAGGGAGATGAGGATCATGATTCCGGAACAGAAAGTGACGAAGAAATCGATCCTATGGAACTACCTTCACCTGGTAAGTCATTTTACCTTTTTAAAAGAATTTGGAATGGTCGATGAATGATGGATTATTTTTAATTTCGCATATCCCAAATAGACCATGGGAAATATTCGCTAGAACGCAACGTTTCGGAACTAAATTCACCGGCAAAAAAAACTAGACCTAATTTCAAAGTTGGATTTCTCGCGAGCCACTCATTAGATTTTGATGATTTTTTTTTATTGTAAATTATTTCCTTTTTAACGGATGCTACGTCAGAAATTTTCCGATTCCGAATTTATTTTGAGCATACCGGGTGCGTCTCAAAAGTGGCTCACTCCTATAACTTTTTTATTTTTTTAGTTAAAAAAACGAATGTTGGTATTTTAGTATATGACATAAATTAGGATTCATTGACGTATTCAATTGTTTTCGGTCACTTCCGGTTTCACCGGAAATGACTACAACTTTTGATTTTTAAATGGCACCCCCGGTATTTGTTTACTTTATTCGATAGAAAATGTCACTCTGAATAGAATTACACATCATTGACATTTTCGCATATGGTTTATTTGAAATGATAACTTGCGGTTCCTAACGAAAATTTGACTTGAAATACCAAGAGTGTGGTATGAAATCCTTCGTAAAAAAATGCTTTTTCCAAATATGCTAATTAGCCACCCTTGTTCCATTTGAAAAAATTGAGTTATGATTAAAAATATGATTTGAGAATTTTCTAACTTGCCAGGACAAGACAATAAAAACATTAGACGTCCAAATCTATTTTTCCAAAGCTGCTTGATGAAGAATTAGTGCTTTTAACATAGCCAAGGCACTCTAGATTGAAATTTAAAATACAATTTTTTATTAAGCGAGAATGTCAGTTGAAGTTGACATATGATATATCATTCTATACAAAGAATGTAATTTTCTATCGAATAAAGTAAAAAAATACCGAGGGTACCATTTAAAAATCAAAAGTTGTAGTCATTTCCGGTGAAACAGAAAGTGACCAAAAACAATTGAATACACCAATCAATCTTAATTTATGTCATATAGTAACAAACCAAATATGTTTTTTTTATCTGAAAAAATAAAAAAGTTATAGGGGGTGAGCCACTTTTGAGACGCACTCGGTATACAGGGCACAACAATAGGACGAAGTTTTTTGGCCGAACTTTGTAACACCCTGTAGGGTGCAGCAGCGGTAGTAGCTACGCTAAATTAAATCACATAGTAGCCTCATTTTTTGTGAGCATTTTGTTTTTTTAATCACCACATTATCTCTTTTTGTATTGGAGATATGCTGTTTTAAAACGAACGTCTCGGAAGAATTCAGAATTCATCTCGGAAAAGGCATAAAGTTTTATGTGTAAATAATCAAGGCGACATAGGCGAAAACGGATTTATGAGTATTTCCAATATGAGAAAAATGGTTGTCAAATTAAAAAATGCCATTATCTGTAACGGATGTTGCTCGTATTGTGGTTTTAATTGAGGATGGCCGAAGGCAGCGTTAGGTCTCTGATACCCTGGGTATATTTCGAACAACAGCCCAGGGGTGCAACTTTGTTCAAGTTAGCAACCGATCGTTTAGAAGCGATGTCGAAGCCAGATCGGTACTATGTTCATTGCAAAACTATTGTCGCTCAAATGCTGCGAAATATGATATCACTATCACATTCTTGCACACGTGTGCGACACGGTCTAGGCAGTCGCCTCGCCACAAAGCGAGAAATCAGAATATCGCTACGAATCGATGTTGCTACTGAACATAGTGCCTTAAGCTACAAATTACTTTACTATCGCTTTGAAACATGAACAAAGTTGCACCCCAGGATGCCTAGAATCGGTATAAGGAAACGGGAAATTTTACCAGGCGAGTGGACACTAGATTTATTAGTCCCTTAAAAAATCTTTACCTTTTTTTTAATTTTTATATTTTAGTTAGTTTACGTCTACGTTCTGATGTTTGATTTAATTTTAAAGCTTTTTTCGAGGCGTTTGTTTTAAAGCAGCGTATCTCCAATGCAAACAGATAATGTAGTGATTTAAAAAACAATATTCTCACAAAAACTGAGGCTACAATGTGGTTTTAGCAATAGCTACTACAGCTGCTGCACCCGACAGGGTGTTACACAGTTTGAGCAAAAAACTTTGTCTTATTGTTGTGCCCTGTAATAAATTCGGAATAAAAATTGCTGACGTAGCATCCGTTAAGAAGGAATTAATTCACAATTTAAAAAAAAAATCATCAAAATTTAATGAGTGGTTCGCGAGAAATCCAACTTTGAAATTGGGACTAGTTTTTAGTGGCCGGTTTTTTTGCCTGTATATGTGAAAATCTGAAAAAAGTCCAAGAATTCAAAGAAGAAATTCAAAGTAAAAACTAACTCCAAAATGAAATTTGATCTAAATCAATTAAAGAATAGAGTCTCATAAGATGCAGACCTTATCTGTGACAGTGTATAATATACACTGTTATTAGATATTATCTAAATTTAAACTAAATGGCACTAAAAAATAAAAAAAAACGAGCAAAATACTCAATAATTCCTGATACAGACATCAATAACAAAACTATTTTGTAAACAAATTGGTAGGTCAAGACTGAATGCATTGGCAAAGGTTGGCATTACTCTATATCGCCGTACTGACTGGACAAATTTTTCCGAAATGTTGATAAAAGCTGTATTTAAAAATATAATATGTAAAATAAGTAAATATTGTATGCAGATCGTTTAACTTGTTGATGAAATACAATATAGTTAGAGTACAAAAGTTTTTTTTTATAAATGGTGGTAGTAATTAAGTAAATTGATAATATCCCGCCAAAGAAAAATGTAGTCTAAGAAAAATAATAGAAAAAAGAAAAATAATAATCCAAAAAAGCTAAAATTAATAAAAAAATAGTAAATTTAAAATATTTTTCTGCAAGACTCTGTGACCAAAGATAGCGAAGAACTTTTTATGGCTTGAGTTTAATGGTCATAATAGTTATTAACTTGAAAGGACACCCTCTATATAGGGTGATTTATGGCGATGGCACGTTAGATGTTTATGGAGAACCGGTGATAGATTTTTTTTTAAAATTTGGATTTTATACATAAAGGCACCTGCTCTATCTCATATACTTTTCTATTATACTAATAATATATATATATATATATATATATATATATATATATATATAGTGATAGATTTTTTTTTTAAAATTTGGATTTTATACATAAAGGCACCTGCTCTATCATCTAAAATATTTTCGGCGTTACAATGTTGCCGCATCATTTGAAAAGTGGTAGCATCTTGCTTATTTTAAATGGAACAAAAACAAAATTTTAAAAACTATATTTTTTTGATCTCCCTGTTGATATTCAATCGGGAAATTTAGACAGATCGAATATGTCGACTTTCCTTAACATCTAAACCAAATTTCAGCTTTCAATATGCCGAATTCATGATTTAACCAGCGCTTTTGTCACTTTTACACATGTTTTATTTTTATCTCGAAAACTATTAGAGATTGGTCTAGATTAGTATAATAGAAAAACGGATAAAAACAATCAGTAGTTTTGAAAAATGTAATAATATACCAGGTGTTCCATTTAAAATAACAAAGACGCTACCACTTTTAGTATGAAGCGGCTACGCTGTAAGGCGGAAAATGACTAGGGTACAAACATAGTGGGGCATCTCGATGCGATGCTCGCCAAGATACTGGCCGCGCTGCTCGCCAGGATGCTAGCCGCGATGCATCCTACGCGCACTGTTTTAAAACGGCGAGGAAGTGCGCGTAGGATGCATCGCGACTATCGTACAAACATAGTGCGGGGCATTTCATCTCGACGCGATGCGCGCCATTCACCTCGCCATCCGGCGATGCTGAATCAAACATGTACAAATTTATGCGTCAAACCATACTGGTGCCTCGCACCTCGCCACGCACCTATATGTTCAGCGCGATGTTTCCTAGGAAACAAAATTTTTGTTTTTTGCGAGAAGCGGACGCGGATGCCTGAAACTTTACATTTGATAGGTCGATTTAAGATCACAATTCGTTGAGCATATGTCGAACTAGAGTCGGGTGGAATAAAATGTTCACAATACTAATATTTAATTTATCACCAACAATGTAATAACCTTCATTCTACAGGGTCCGGCAATAGCGCGTCGGGCATCTGCAGCTCCTATAATAAAAAACTTATGAATTTTGTAGTCCAGACATAAAGTATGTATTAGGATGTATTTGAGGAAAATATTTGAAGTTCTAAAGGGTGGCTCAAAAAAGTGTGAGTGGATCGCGAATATTTTTTTAAATGAAACACCTATATACAGGGTGGTGCAACTCATTCGCCTCGGTTGATTGTAGTATGTAAGAATACGGAAATATGTAGAAACAAAATATTTTATGGGCATATGTGGGAAGACCATGTGCATAATTTAAAATTATTTTGAAATGTACAGGGTATGTCAGAACTAAGATTTACACCAAAGTTATATTTTTTCTTATGGAACACCCGGTATTTTATTTCATATTTGGATCCTTGGACACAAAATAAGGCATCTATTATAAGGGTTATTATATATTAATATGTTTATAAGCTCTCCTTTACGCGTTAACATTTTTTCGGCAATTTTATTAACATTTGAAATAGTCACAACACATCACGACGCCTAGTTCGAATTCTTTTTCATTTATTTTTTACTACCCGAAACAGCGTTACATCACACAAATCTGGTACCTGAGTGTTTTATCTCTTTTTGTCTCAACAACTGCACTAAAAAAACTAAAATACTTATATATTATAACAAAACCACGATTTCAATATTATTCTATGCGATCAACATGACGGCGACGTGAAATAGATAGGGATAATTTCAGATTTTTGCCATTGACTCGCTGCGGTAGGAATCTGTTGAAATCAACTGAAATGCACCAAGCCTATACTAATTAATAACCACTATTACATAAACTGGTGCTTAATAAAACGGCGATGGTAAATGTTTCAGTATGCCTACGCGCACCTATTCGCCGT